ATCTCAGACCGCATGCTGTCGATCTGCTCGCTGCTATTTGTGTCTCCTGCCTGCGAGCCGTCCGGAGTGTTCCCTCCGGTTCTGCGGCCCGCCATCCCTAATGGACTCCCTCGAGGGAATAAACACTAGTGTGTTGGTATGTCCGTACTTGGGAGGAGAAGACACGCTTTAACTCTCCGTGATTAGGCACCCGCGGAAGCGAGGAAAGGAAGGGAAGAAGTGGCCCTCCCGAATTCGGGAAGGGGGCCCACACATAGTAGCCTTTTTCAGGCATACGCATGCTCCTGTCTGCGTACCTCCCCGTGCTGCTAGCAGATCTACCATGCTCGTATCCAGGCATGCGAACATGACACACACACGTTGGCAGACAACATATGTACAAAAGGGCGAATATGACGACCGAGGCCATTACCCCGATTGTCAAGTTGCCCATCTCGGAGGTCTTTCCGGCGATGACTCGAGGCAACACGAATCTCAACACGCCGTTGTACCTCCAACGACAACAACTTACTAGACACCGTGCAACGTTTACCTACAGTATTCTACATAAACAAAGGACCCAAGGGTCAGCACCGTTTCGGACTACACAAATATAAAATATTGACTTCGAATTGGCCATGCTATTTTCAAAGTATCATTTTGAAGCGAACGGCTTGACCAACCTTCACGGGTGTTTTTATGACACAATAATTTTTTTCGTACCCCACCAGGAACGATTTTGACGATCTTGTCTCCATGTCCGCTTGTAGAGAACCGAGAGCCACAACACGATGGTGATATGACGTGTTTAACGTGCGATCTTGACCGAGGCGTGGGGCAGGTGCCTCTCGAGGCTCTCTTGTGATCTTGTACAATCTGAGCAGGGAAGTCATCACGTAGCAAGGCATGCATGGGCGGTACATGCGCTGGTTTCACGAATGTCCCGGCGAGGTGTCCACAGGGGTCAAATGGGGGCAATCACACAGGGCCGAAAATTATTACGAAGCCACCCAATCGAACACCAACTCCTCACGCAATCATCAATCGATTCGTGTTAGCTTTTGACACCATTCTGCATCGGCCCCCCCATCTCCGCAATCACCATTACGGGCTGGTTTGGATTGTTTAGGCCGCCACGGATGCCACCTACTCTGTTCGAGGACAGCTTCAACACAACCCTGCAGTCAGGCAAACGACACTCTAGTTTCGGTTCATCAAAGCGGTGTTCCACCACGCAGGCTTGCACACTGTCACCTATAATCCGAGCCTCTCTTCATTGCTGACTAACATCCACAAAGACCTGCTAGATAGTGTGCCAATCTCGCATGGCTGGATCTTGCAGCCGCTCTGCTTCGCAAGAAAGTTCGGAGTGACGCACGCCCATCTCTATGGAAAGGTCCCGGCAGAGAACACTATGGTGTAAAAACTACGAGCATGCTGTCGGCATGGAACGCTTCTTTCTGCCTTTCCTGTGAGTCACAGCCGCACTCACTGCGATGTGAAAGAGCTGTATCGATCAGACGTCAAGAACCGTCGAAGGTGAACTGTCCATTCCACTCTCTACACCCTTTAGCTTTACGACAACACAGTACATAATACCTGGCTCTTCGAATCGGTTGTCGCTGATGTCGAGCTCGGTGAGGTTGGTCAGCTTTGAAAGCGCTTCTACAGGAATAGGGCCTGCGCCGGACACAGTCACCGTCCGAAGAAACAATGAAAACACGCAAGTCTATCCCTCGTAGTTGCACGCTCCTGTCGTCGTCACGTGTGGGCACGAGCTCTACAAGGGAATGGGCATTGACCCATGCTTACTGCTCAGACGAACTCGCCCACAGAGGTGTTTATGTCTGACCTGAACCCCGACTCCATATTTGATAAGGGCGAACAAGCACGAACGCTGGAAGGTTGGCTGGCGGGTCGATTTTCACCGTGACGGCATATAGCTTCTTGTCTAATGTCGAAGGCCACGCCCGTGGTCAAAAGAAAGAACAGTATAAACCGAACCACGTGAAGGTCGAAGACACTATGGCAATAACGAAATATTCTTGGTTCTTACCCACGAGCTAGTTGTTAAAGTAGGACAGTTCACCAGCCGGCTCAGTGCGGCGGAATGCTACCTGCAACCAAGGAGGGAACCAAAGCCGAGGCATAAGCATTCCAATCGAATTCCCTCACCAACCTAAGGTTGCCATTTGTGTGAAGCAATGGCAGAAAGTTAAAAAAAACACACAAGGACATCCATCGGAAAAACCGCGACCTTGTTTCTTGCGGTAGAGCATACTTTCGCACGTGGCGAAGGTACCAAGAGAAACAGGTTCTTTGCAGAAGAAGGTTCAACAAGTATGTATGAAACGATCGCTTCTCATTCAAAGCAAAGCCGCAGCGTTTCAGTGGTCATGGTCTACAAACGTAGAATGTACCTGCGGGTACAATAACAACCAACCGCGAAAACGGTTCAAGGTGGTGACACCGTAAGACTTGCTCCTCGGCAGTTACTCGCGCGTTTTGTCGGTTGATTTTTGGATTTTTGGGATCCCACCCCTCATTCCGTCCAACTTTATCCTGTGACCAGGGGTCGTACTGTCAAGAATCATGGGTAACGCTTCCCGACTGATTCGAATACTGTCGAAATACCTAAAACCTAGAAGAGCAAAACCCACCTGTGAGACGACTCTTTCGAATGAACAGCTTCGTGAGATTCGTCAAGTTTGCCAATGTCGCCGGCAGGGCTCCTGCACGATGAGAAAAGCATGTCGGAAACCCATGATGGTGCGAAGAGGGTGGGAAAAGATTGTCAGCAGTACGAATCGCAGGGTTTAGCTCGAAAACGCTCCCTATTAATCGCGGGCAGAGCAGCGTGGCCATCGTGCCGCGTCAACCACGCGCTTCATGTATTGACACACCATCTCAATCAACGCTGGTGGCAATTTCGCCGAATACAGCGGGCATCACACCGGCTGAACCGGGAAAGCTTCCGTTTCCAGGTAATTCAACTCACCGTCGATGCGATTGCTGGAAAGAATCACCCTTTCCAGGTTCGTTCTCGTCCCCAGTGTGTCCGGGGTGGAACGTTCATGGCGGGAAGAACCAAGCGCACACAGAAGAATCAGAAACCCAGGGTGGCAAGCCAACAATCAGGATGCACTCGAACATGAGGTGTTGGTATTCATAGAGTAAGGCGGTCTTGATCAATGTAGGTTTCACTTCGTCCTTTGGTACCACCATCATTTCACCCGTGAGCTCGTTGTTCCAGAGATCCAGGAGCTTGAGAGAGGCAGGCACGACCGATGCTGACGGAACCGGTCCTTTTATAAGCAGGATTCAAGAAACAGAGGAGTATTTAAAGAATATCGAATCTGTTTGGCGGTCTCCTTTTCAAAGCTCATTCATCTGGCGCTGCCCACCATTTGCAAGAATCCGCACGAAGTTGCATCCGCAGCTCAGTCGGCCAATGTCGAGCCTTGGACGCTTCTGACCATGCTCAGTAAGTCGCAATCTCAGGTGCAGCACAACACCTCCCTACGGCACAGCGTTGAACCGACCGCAATGGTATGCCAGGTTACAGCTGGTGGGACAAGCTTCATGTTCGGATCAAATACCACAAGTGTTCACTCACCATAGAGCTTATTTTGCTGGAGGTGTAGCCCCACAAGGGAGGGCATTTCGCCGAGTTGAGCCGGTATCGGCCCTGGTCAACAAAATCACCACGTGGTGGCATTGATGTTAGAGTAGGAAGAAATAACTTCAAACAACCGTACTCGGGAACCCGGCCGTTGTATACTTGATACCCGGATGCATCCCGCCTAAGATTTGTACCTCAACGACCACGATGTTCTCAGGTCCCAAACAGGTCTTCGATCCCTGCCGCAACAACGATGCTGACATCTCCGTGGGCCGACCGCTAGCGGAGGCAACGCCTCTGGAAACGCACCCAAACTGTGCTCTACAAAACTAGCTCAGCTTTCCTGCCCGTTGTACGTAGCGGTGACGTCACGAAACGAGCTACGTGTTTGGTGCACGTTACACAGCCACCAAATGCTTGCTACCCGTACCCGGTTGAGGTCCTGACGGTATCGATAGAGAATGCACGGACGAGGTGCTTACTCAGTCGCGCTCACCATTGAGTTTGTTGTTGTTCAGCATCAGAGTCTGTAAGCGAGCAAGCTGGATCAACTCGACATCGCCTCCTTACGGCACACATCACCGGAGAAGTACTGTTAAATCTCGCACAGCCCACCTATCAATCACCCGAATCGTACTGGACCCACGGTATTGCCCCACGCATCATCACGGGCGCAACTCCGACATGACGACCTCGGCTGTAATCTATGCAAACAGGCCGCAAGCATGTAATCGAGCGTGTTTTCACCTCCAAACGCGTGCTTCCTCCAGTTGTTTCTGGGCCAACAGTTTTTATTGACTTTTCACGTGTGTTGTGCGATGACGGTTCTTGGTTTCATGTCATGACACATGCGATGTTGTCACCCACACATATCTTCGCACTCCCCTCGACAGATGTGGCAACAACTTTTGTTTGCAAGAAATATATCCGAGACCTGTTGGTGTGTTCTCCCCAGGTGGCTGAGCTCCAAATCAATGCACACCATCTCGCGTGTCGCAAGATCCCCCCGTATAAAACCCGTGTTGACCGGGTTAAAACCCCGGGTTACATCAATACTCAAACCTTAATGCATGCACTCTACCGCAAAAATATTTACCTGGGCGAGTAGGAAGATTCAACAGCCTCTGTTTTTCGGCCTCTTTGCGCATATCTTTCACCAAAGACCTGGGCTGCACGCTACCCGCGGTGAACAGTATCAAACGCGATGGCAAGGGCCAGAGTTCGATGTTCGAGCAAGCCTTGACAAGCTCACGTCGGGAAAAAACGCTAACGTACCTAGCTGAACATGTTCATCAACAAAAGTCGTCCTCGAACACACAACTCTGTTGTTGTGGACCAACAAACTAGCAGTCAATTGTTGTACATGTCTGACTCATGTTGAGGCAGCAAAAGGAGAATCTCAGCTGCCAGAAAGGACAGCTTCATGGGCGAACCACGCACCGGTGAGGTTGTTCCAAGGTAGGTTCAGGGTCTCCAGGTTGGCCAATTCACCTAGTTCCAGCTGGATGGAACCTGGACGTTGTGCACAAAAACGAATAAGTTGAGTTGACACGGATAGCCTCTGCAAGGCTTTATGCCCTGAGGCACAAGAGTCGGAATGAAGCTCTTGGGCCTTCACAACGATTCTCCATGAATATATGCATGTAGATAACCACGACCAACTCACCACCGCAGAGCTCAATCACTAAACACCAACCTGAAAGGTTTTGTCTCTGAATGCAGAGAGTCACCAGCTCCTTCGCCGCACCGAGCCCCTTTGGGATTCGACCTGGGATACGGATCGATCAAACTTCATCAGTCAAGCTCGGATTAGGTGTGAACTGTACCTTTTTGATGACATGTGTGTGCATATCTTTGGGCTCATCTCACCTTCCAGAAACTGAAACGAATCGTCGCTTTCCTCCGAAACGAACTCGATCTTCGACAACTGCAACTGATCCGCCCACCAGTGGTGGTCACGAGCTACCTCCCAGGCCATCCTCACAGACTCGGGCTCATCGGCGTTGGCGCTTGAAATCAACGGGGCGAGCACCTCAGCCTCCTGTTTCTTTCCCAGCAGTGCGTTCTTCAGGTCAATCGTAGACTCCACCCTCCCCTTGGCCGTGGCCGTCATGTGGAAAATCCTAGGTAGATCGTCCTCTTCGAGGCTGGCGAGAGCCTCGGCCGCCTTGGCCAAAAACGAGAACACCGACGCGGCGATGTTCATGGCTCCAGCCACCGTGGTGAAGCCTGTCGTCATGCCCGTGATGGCCAGCTGCGGCAAGAACTCCAGAACGGCGTTTAGTAAGGGCCACGACAAGTAGCGCCCAGCGCGCCCCGTGGTATCGGGGCAGGCCCCGTTCCTAAGCCATCCTGGGCAGTCCATGGCCAACAGCACCCACGTGAGCGTCCCAAAGAGTGTGAAGAACAGGGATACTTCTTTAACCCCCTCGAACGATGCATCGTTCTGGATCTCGTCAGAGAAAAAGAAAAACCAGTCTGTCACGACGTCAATATCGGCCGCAATCGAGCTAAGGGCCAGCGAGGAAGAAACCGTGTCCCTGGTCAAGCGTGCCTTGAGCTCTGGAACTTCCCACTTCCTGCGTGGGGTTCCGACAACGGCGGTCTCCGCACGGCAGCAAACGTCGCACTGCCCACCATTCTTCTTGTACAGGAACGCAAGGTAGAGGAGGCGAAGCATATTGGAGAAATGACGCAGTCCACTCCCTGTTCGTTAGGAAAAAGGGTCGATAGTGTGTATGAACAATACTTTTCGCTGTTGCCTTGGCTGATGCTGTAGAATCGAATAGCGCATGTCTCGCCTAAAGTAATGACAACGCACCTGCTCGGCCTGCTCAATAGCCCGGAAATATCACTGTTTGACGACGTATTTCTCTACGTAGCATCGACCGCGCCGGGATGATGTGACCAGTTCTGGGTGACACCTTTTCGGGTACACCAGTAACCAGCGTCGGTTGCACAGGAGGGTCGAGATGCCAGCGGCAGTTGTACCCGATAGAGGTTTTTTTTTACAGGTTGCTCCTAGCGGGTAAATACGATGATGGTGTTTTGGCCAATCAGCTGGCTGCCTTCGAGTTCATGCATGTGTTGAATTCTACTGTAAGTGTACCGTTGAATGGTGATACAATCACCCGGGTATACGGTTTATGGTTATTGAGAGATGAGGGAGAATGCCGATATGACGATTACTCGACGCGATGATTCCCGGTTTCAAAAGCCAAGCGGCCCCGACTGGAGATGGAACCATGGTGCCCCGCAGAATGTAAAAATAACCAAGGGAGGAGCAGCCAACCTGGAGCATGCTATTGTAATAGCTATTTTTGAAGAGAAGTGGCCCGATAGGGAGGCT